TTGACGGATAATACAAGTAAAATACTTGAATAATCTTTTTTAACAGATTTCGTTAACAACATAATGAGGAACCAAGGAAGTTTTTTATATCACTGAAACTTAAAAAGTGTAATCGAGAAAAATGGTATAATAAAACTTCATTTAGTATATACATATGTACCTACTCTTGATTTAAAATTTATGTTTAGAGTCATTATTTAACGACGAATTTTTAAAATATATCAATCTAGCATATGTTTAGCGGAAAGAATGCATGACTGTTTTGATAACTGCAAATTCTGATGGCAATTTTGCTCCTGCTATAATTGTATATAAATATAGAAAAACCCCACAGAGGTTGCCTATAAAGTGCCAAAGATTGGCCGATGGGCAAATCTGATAGTGGCTGGATGAATGGAGAGCTATTCTTCGACTACATAGCAAATATCTTTCATCATTGGCTACAAACACAAAACATACAGACACCTGTAATATACAGACAATGTTGTTATTCACTGACAGTCATACCGTCTTATAACACTGCATACCAGTGAATTTTGCAGTAAAAATGGAATACTCAAAGCATTACACCCCAGTTCAACTCATTTCTCCAGCCACTCGACGTAGGATTTTTTAAGCCTATGAAAACAAGGTGGAAAGCAATAGTGGCAACATACCAGTGGCGTGTAGATAATATTCAATCACCTAATTTAAAAAAAGCTGATTTTGCATCTCTCGTATATAAAACTCTTGAAAATTTTGAGAAACAAATTATGAAAAATGCCTTCAGAAAAAGTGGTTTAATGCCTTAGGATAAGAATGTTATAGGCTACTCTAAAGTGAAAGAAAAATGTCACGAAAATCAAAATGAACTTAGAAGATTATTTACTACAGTCAATAACTAAAACATTAAATGAAGATGGTCTTGCTTTCCTGGAAAAGAAAATAGGTGAGGAAAAATTGCTGATATTTAAAACTGGTCATGAAGATTGGAATGGTCAAGAACAAGACCAATCTCTATTCCTTATGTGGAAAAATGTAACTAGTAGACTTCATCTGATTCCAACAGTACAAAATATAGATGAAAATCGCATACTCGAAACTTCTACAGTACCAGCAACTGAAGATGCAGTAATGGCTTGTTCCAGTTCCTGTAATGGCAGCAGACTTTATGTGATTCTAACAGCACAAAATATAGATGAACAACATATACTCCAGAATTCTACAATATCAATAACTTAAGATGCAGTAATTGCTTGTTCCACGCCAATAGAAGCTCCATTGTACAGGGGAGTAAAATAATCCCATCTGCATTTAAATCCGTCATTTCAACGGCCTGAAGAGAAACCCTGTACTTTGAAAAGACAGTCCAAGAAGAAACTCCTTTCTGTAGTAAGCTCCAATTCATATTAACGGTATTTAAGAAACAAAGAAAAACAAAAAGAAGAAAAGGAAGAGTTAAATTCGGTATAATATAGAAATTCAGCATTAATGATTTTGTGCTTGTTAAGTTTTTGGATTAAAAAGCAAATAAACATTTTGTTGGTCAGATAATTAATATTTCTGATGACGAGAAAGATTCAGATAATGCCGATTATGAGATCTCCTTCCTCAAACATGAAGAGGATGGAAAATGTAAGTGGCCAGAGTAGAAGACAAATCACATATTTCGACAAATGATATAATATTTAAGTTACCGCAATCTCAGTTAGATAGAAGAGAATGAATATATTTTAACTTTGACTTTAGCGAATAATATGTAGACTTGTGTGCTTTGTGTTCTTCTTCTTCTTCTTCTTCTTCGTCTAGCCATTCACGTCCACATCTGAACATAAGCCTCTTTAAGTCTTCCTTTCCATTGTTTTTTATTGTACGCTACTTGTAGCCAATTTTTCCCGGCAGTCCTTTTCAGATCATCTGTCCATCTCATAGGAGGTCTGCCTCTGGGTCTTTTGTGTTGGTATGGTCTCCAGGTTAAAATTGATCTGTGCCATTTGTTTAGATCGCTCCTAGCTACATGTCCAGCGTATTCCCATTTCAGCTTTAATGCTTTTTGCACCACATCGGTGACTTTGGTTTTCTGTCTTATCCATGTGTTTGTTTTCTTGTCCTTAAGTGATATACCTAGCATTGCTCTTTCCATCGCGTGTTGAGTGACTCTAAGTATATTCATATTCTTTTTTGTGATTGTCCATGTTTGTGCCGCATAAGTTAATATCGGGATAATGCATGCATCAAAAACTTTAGATCTAAGATGTAATTGAATTTGTTGATTTCTGAGTATATAGTTCAGTTTACCGAATGCTGCCCAAGCTAACTTTCTTCTTCTTTTTATTTCTTCAGTCTGAATTTCCCTATTTAGGATTATTTTTTGTCCCAAGTATATATATTCTTCAACTTTTTCTATAACTTTATCGTTTATTATTGTCACGGTGTCTTCGGAGTGCATGACTTTTGTTTTGTTTAAATTCATTTTCAGTCCTATTTTAGAAGATTCGGTATGAAGTTCTACAAGCATGGTTTGCATTTCTTGTAGGTCAGTAGCTATCAGGATTATGTCATCTGCAAATCGTAGATTACTGAGGTAGCGGCCATTGATGTTTATTCCCTTATATTTCCAATTTAGGTTTTTAAAAACGTCCTCCAAAACTAAGGTGAACAGTTTGGGTAATAAAGTATCTCCCTGTTTGACTCCCCTGTTTAGTGGTACAGGGTTCGTGTGTTCATTTTCATTTAGGTAGTATGTAGCTGTAGCTTGGTTCATAGTTTCTTTTATTAAGTTAATATATCTGCTGTCTATTCTACAATTTTGCATTGCGTTTATTACGGCCGTGTGTTCTATGGTATCGAAAGCTTTTTCATAGTCTACAAATGCAAGGAAAACTGGAAACTTGTATTCGTTACATTTTTCTATTAATATTTTTGTGGTTAACAGGTGATCGGAAGTTGAATAGCCTTTTCTAAAACCTGCCTGTTCATATGGTTGGTATTCGTCTAATTTCCTTGTTAGTCGAGTAGTTATGACTTTGGTGAGTATTTTAAACAGGTGTGACAATAGGCTGATGGGTCTGTAGTTTTCCAATTTTCGACTATCACCTTTCTTGTGCAATAAGATTACTTTAGAGTTGTTCCAGCTCTTAGGGACTTTGCCCTGATGTAAACAACTGTCCACAAGCTTAGTTACAATTGCAATTAGTTCCTGACCTCCTTCTAATATCATATCTGTGGTAATACTATCTTCTCCTGCAGCTTTATTTCTCTTCATGTTTTCCAATGCTGTAGTTACCTCTGAAATTGTTACTTTTGGCATTATTTCTGATCCAACATTTTTTATTAATTTCCGTGCTGGTCTCATCTCATCATCTTGTTGATGTGATCTGTAAAGTTCTGTGTAAAATTCTTCTATTCGTGTCAGTATGTTTTCTCTACTTGTGATTTCATTTTCGTCTTTTCCTATTAATGATATCATCTGACGTCGTCCTAGTGTCGGTCTGAGACATTTCATACTCTTATTTTTTTCAATAGTTGTTGTTATTAATTTTTCGTTTTCTTTTCTTTTTTGTTGTCTGATTCCTTTTCTAATCTGCCTATTAAGTTCTCTATATTCGTCGGTTCCCCTTTTGTTAGATTTATTTAAGATCTTCCTTCTTTCTATTTGTTGTAATATTTCTTTGTCTAATTCATTGTATGTTGTTTTCGGTTTTTTCAGTTGCAGAAGGCTTTTATTCACTGTTTCGGTAATAAGGTTATTCAAATCATCAATATCATTGGAGTTTATCTGCTGCATGCTAACTTGATTTAATGCATGCACTATCTTTTTATTAAATTCACTATTGTTGATTTCTTCAGATGTCCATGTGTATCTTTTTTCATGTATTCTTTTTCTTTCTAGTTTTTTGTTAATTACTAGTTTTGTTCTTATTAGTCTATGATCGCTTCCTAGGTCAAACTGATTTAATACTGATACGTCTTCTACTAGGTTTCTATTCTTCGTTAAGATATAATCTATTTCATTCTTTGTCTTTTTATCGGGACTCATCCATGTCCATTTTCTGCTTGGTTTTTTATTGAAAAAGGAGTTCATTGAGTACTTGTGCTTTGTGTTATTATTCTTCATATTTTTATATTAGTTTAAGTATTCAATGTTAGGAAATCTAATAAATCATGAATTTATTCTTCTTTAAAAACTGATTTGAAATTTAATAACCATTTTTATTTATATGTTTAATAAATACCTACATGTCTAAATAAATAACGTTAACATACTTAACTTTGAAAAATATAATTTCTATTGTATTATGTCAACTGCTACAACTTTACATGTCATTTATTAGATCACTTGTCAACTATTAAACCCCATGCACTTATTTTCTAAACACCTAATAGAAAAAAAAATCAATTATAACTAATGATATCTGTTAGTTCTAGAAGAAAGTATTTTGTCTGAAGAATATCTTGGTAAAAAATTAACAAGCAGATTGGAATTTTCTTTAAATTATATGTATTTTAAGTTGTGTAATTTATTAAAGTGTCAATTACTCTCACATTTATCTTAATGAGAGAATCTAAATATCGCTTACTCCAGTTGATCGTAAAGGGCAAAATCAAAGGAAAACGCTGGGTCGGAAGAAAGCAACTGTCCTGGCTACGTAACATTATACAATGGACAGGTCGAGGAATTGTTTCATCTAGCTGCCGAACGAGAAACCTTTCATCAGCTAGTTAATAGGACGATAGCCAACGCTTGCAAAAAAGCACGGCAGACAAAGAAGAATAATCTTAAGTCCTCCCTCTTCAATCACCATTCTCCAACTCTCCAACATTTATAAAAAAATGTCAACATTTAGAACATTTTAAAAAATCTTATATAATATATGCAATTCTTTTATCCGTTATACATCCTACATGCAAGGATATTCCAATGGACACTGGTTACGTTTACTAATCAAATTTGCAGTTATTACATATATCTTCTGCTTCACGTTTTACAAAAGTAAATTACATAAAAAATGTATACTTACGATATCCATTGATATATGCCAGACACAGTCAACTCTCCTTTTACACTGAGCGCATATTCTATCAGTTCGGTGTAAGTAAAAGGTGGTTTCTTTTGACCAGAGTATCTACATGAATGTATCCCGTTACCTTTTGCATCACAAGGTTTGACTATTGTTGGTACCTAAAATTATGCAAGAAATAAATGCATGCTATAGGTTTTCCATTAAAATATAATTACCTGTACTATTTGTGGTCGGATAGAGTAATTATCTTGTATTATATTAACGTTTCTATTGACAGTTTCTGTTGCAGAAGCATCTGAAAAATATATAAATTTACATTTACTCGGAATATTAATTTTAAAAATATAATTTATTATTATTTTTTTTTTAAGATAAAAATACGTTTATTGACGTTTAAATTTCCATAATATATAATATAATGATATGACAATATAATTTATTATATTGTCTCCTGGGTATAATCTAAATAACACATTTTTTAATTAGTAAGACAATCAAACCTATAACGCTGTACTAAGAACAACATATTTTTCCCCAATTTTGGAAGATTATTTAGCCAAATAAATTTTATTCTTTAACCTGGGAAAACTCTTACCGTATAGACACATCCACATCTAGTCTAAAATATTGAAAAAAAAAATACTGCTAAGAAGGATACAACCAATTTTTAAGTGACAAACAAATAATACCCATTATAAATTTTGCTTTAGAACACTTGCTATTCTCGGGAATTCATTTCTATTTATGAATAATTTTATGTCTAAAGAACGTATTAATATTAAAATGATGAAAAGGTTGCCAATGTGACTCCATAATACTTCTTCTTCTTCTTCTTCAGCCTGTGTTCGTCCACTGCTGGACATAGGCCTCTTCCATTTGCTTCCATCGATTTCTACTTTTGGCAATTCTCATCCACTGCTTGCCCGCGACTTGTTTGATATCGTCTGTCCACCTCTTCTGCGGTCTGCCTACTCCTCGCCTGTTCTCTCTTGGTTTCCAGTTTGTTAATCTTTGTGTCCATTTTTCGGGATTATCTCGGGCAACGTGTCCGACCCATTGCCACTTGAGCCTTGCAATACGTTCTGAGACATCAGTAATTTTTGTTCTTTCACGGATGACGTAATTTCGAATCCTGTCTCTCAAACTAATCCCTAGCATGGCCCTCTCCATTGCTCTTTGGGTTGTACTAAGCTGCTCTAAGGTTTTCTTTGTGAAGGCCATGGTCTCCAGTCCATATGTAGTTACAGGCAAGATACATTTGTCATAAACTCTACGTTTTAGATACATTGGTATATCTTTATTCTTCAAAATAAAGCTTAATTTGCCGAAAGCTCCCCACACAGTTGTATGCGTCTTTTTATTTCGGCTATTTGATTTTCTTTGCCGATTTTAATGGTATGTCTAAGATATATATAGTGGTCTACATTTTCAAGACTGACGTTGTCAATAACAAGATTAGTTTGTAAATTACTCATTATTTTTGTTTTCTGAAGGTTCATTTTGAGACCTATTTTATTTGACTGCTGGTTTAATTCCTTCAACATTTGCTCCAGTTCCTTGATATGTGTACTAAATAATACTATGTCATCCGCAAACCTCAAATGACTCAAACGTACACCATCAATGTTTAGACCTTTTTCCTCCCAGTCAAGCTGTTTGAATACATTTTCCAATGCTAAGGTAAAAAGCTTTGGTGAAATAGTATCACCTTATCTAATACCTTTATCAAGGCGCATTTTTTCAGTTTTTTCGTCTTCATTGATTTTGATGTGGAATGTGGCTTGTTCATAAATGTTTAATGAGTGTAGTGTACCGTGAGTCTATTCGAGCATCCTTCAGGGCTGACAAAAAGGACCAAGTCTCAATACTATCGAAAGCCTTGTGAGAGTCGATAAATGCCATATGTAAAGGTACATTATATTCTGTGGTTTTTTCTACTAGTGTTCTGATGGTTTGTAAGTGATCATTAGCGTCAAACCCTTTTCTAAATCCCGCCTGTTCAACCGGTTGATATAAATCAAGTTTTTGTGTTATGCGGTTGGTTATTATTCTTGTTAACAATTTGTATAAGTGTGACAACAAACTTATAGGTCTGTAGTTTTCAATATTAGTTGTGTCTCCTTTCTTGTGTAAAAGTATTATTTCGGCGTTTTCCCATAGGCTGGGTATTCTTTTTTCTGTTAGACACTTATTCAGTAAGACTTCCACAACTTCTACAACGATGTTGCCGCCCATTTTTAACATTTCAGACGTTATACGATCCTCGCCGGGAGCTTTTTTGTTTTTCATTTGCTGTAAGGCATGTCTAATTTCCGAAGAGGTTATTTTAGGGAGAGTTTCCGAGCCGACGTTTAGAATTGTTCTGTGGTCTGTTTCGGGGTTCTGTATAGTAGATGTATAAAGATTCTTATAGAACGTTTGTATTTCCTTGATTATTTGAGTTTTTTCGGTCACCGTATTCCCCTGTTGATTTTTGATTTTAGTTATACATATTTGATTTTCCTTTAGTTAAATTTGATTTCAATACTCTCATGTTTCTATTGTTTTCGATGGTTTGCAATATTTGTTTTGTTTTATAAGCCCGCAAGTCTGACCTTATGCTCTTTTTAACTTTATTGTTGATAGCTTTATACTCTGGTAATTCTTTCGATGTTCTTCTTCTTTCTTCCATTAAATTAAGTGTTGTTTGTTTCAGTTTCGTTTTTCTGGGATTTTTATTTTTATCACAGATCTTTTTTGCAGTTGATGTTATGTCGTTCGTTAATTTTTGTGTTATTTCATTTATATCTTTCGTGTTGAATACTGGTAGAGGTCCTAGTTTCTTTTTTAGTTCACTTTGATATTCCTCTTGATTCATTTTGAGTGCTTCTATGTTTGGCAATTTATCCTGTGTTAATAATTTTCTTCTATCTAATTTCGTATTTATTTCTATTCGCGTCCTAACTAATCGATGATCACTACCAGTGTTGAAAGAATTTAGTACAGTAAGATCTTTAGCAATGTTTTTGAAGTTAGAGAGTATAAAGTCAATTTCATTTTTTACTTTGCCATCTGGGCTTAACCACGTCCATTTTCTCTGCATCTTTTTCTTGTAGAAGGTATGTAAGCAGAATAGTTTTTTTTTGCTGAGGAAATTTACGAGCATATCTCCCCTGTGATTTCTACTTCCCAGTCCAAAATTTCCAATATATTCGTTGTCGTTGTTATTTTCGTTCTTTCCTATTTTAGCGTTGAAATCTCCCGTAATTATTACGTAATATGTTTTCTCTAGGTTTCTGGCTCTTGTAATGTCTTCATAAAGTTGTTCTACCTCTTCATCATCTGCAGAAGCAGTTGGTGCATAACAGTGGATTATTTGAATGCTGTATCTACGATTTAGTTTTATTACCATATAGATAACTCTATTAGAAATTGCTTTTAATTTGGTTACCATGTTTTCAATTCTCTTATGTACTAAAAAGCCTACGCCTCCTATACCTTGGTTATTTCCTGAATTGTATTGATACAAAGTGTGCCCTGATTTTAGTAGAGTCGATTCTTCGCCTTTAAGCCTTGTCTCGCATAGGCCTACTATGTCCCATTTGATGGTCTTAAGTTCTTCTTGCAACTCTTCTAGGTTATCTTCTGTCCTCATCGTTCTGATATTATATGTTCCGATGTGCATTCTGTGTGTACTAAGCGAATTCTTGCCTCCCCCATATTCCACGAGGCAGACCCTTTTCTGGGTGTGGGATTTGGCATAACATACTCCACCCACCTGGGGACCGTTCTGTTTCGTTTTAGTATTCGCCATATCTGTATTTGGAAGGATGAGTAGCCTTGAAACACCACGCTGGCTAGACGGGTTGGTGATCCATAATACTATAATACCATAATACTAATATATGGGAAATGAGTTAATACTCACAATCTTAAGTAGTTTTAATTTAATAAAGTTGGTGAATTTTGGGCTTCCGGTTTCAAGGCTTACAATATTTGTCCGATCATCAGGTTCCAGTACCTTATTTTTATTTGTATTAAAAACTAAAAGCTAAAACAACATAAAACAAAGAATAAACAAGTAAAACACAATAAATGACACTAAATAACAACAAGTTGACTGAGCAACTATAACATTAACTGAGAGTCTCATTCTTAATTAGTTATAGTTGCTCATTCAATTTGTTATTATTTAGTGTACTTTTGTTTTTTTTTATTTACTGCTGTTTTATCTCAGCAAGCGGCAACTGCAGGAAGCCCCCACTGGTACTCTTGGTTTGGCAAATCCATCAGAAATGACTTCTGTATAATTTGTGACTGGATGACTTCTGTATTATTTGTTGAAGTTATTAAACATTTCATCCATCACTCAAAAAGCAGCATGCAATCGCCCACTCTGAGATTATGCGACAATCACGAAAGTCATTTATCATTGGAGGCATTTAATTTGTGCTAAGAAAATGGAGTGAATATGTTAACTTTTCCACCACATTCTACCAATAAATTTAGCAACCGTTAGACTTTATAGTATTTAAGCCATTCAAAACGTATTACAATGCTGCAATAGATGTTTTCATGATGCAGCATTCTGGACAAACAGCAAATATTTACAATGTTGCTGGTTTTGTAAAGATTGCCCACAAGAGATGAATGACCCTATCAAACATCACTGCTGCTTTTAAGAAAAAAACGATTTATCCATATGACAGACATGTTTTCAGCGATGCCGAATATTTATGTAATTATGTTACCGATCGACCAATGGCGGACTTGCCAGCTACTTGTAAGGTAAAAGAGGATCTACCGTCAGGTGATGATGAACAACTCAACAATGGAAATCGATGCAGATGCCAACTCAAGTTTCAAGAACAACTCTCAAGACCCCCGTAGTTCTACTACCATCAGTAATGTAAAAATTTCCTTATGCTAACCTGAAGATTTTAGAGGATTTCCCAAGGCGGGAAGTAGGAAACACACTATAAACGGTCGAGCAAGAGGAAAAAGTGTGATAGCAACCAGTACTCCAGAAATGACTGCAATTGTCAATAAAACGGCGGTATCAATAGCAAAAAGAGAAATGGTCAAACGGAAAATAACATTTTAATAAGGACACTAGGAAGAAATCCAAAAAAATCGAAGAGGTTCAGTCTTCATCTGAAGAAGAAGATGTAGTCAATTATATTGAGACAAATGAAGACAAATTCATAGATCTGGATAGGTCACCCATTAAAAATGATTATGTACTGGTGGAATATAAATTAAACAGCCATAATAGTAAGTTCTACGTTGGACTTGTTATGAAAGAACAAAATACGAGCGGAGATTTCGAAGTGAAGTTTTTCAGAAAAAAAGGACATAACACCTTTGTAGAGCCTCCAGTTTCAGATGTATCAATAGTCGCTGAGAATAGCATTAAGATGATTTTGGAGAACATGGTTTTTGCGGGATCAACCCAACGCCAAAATCAATGTATTTCTTTCGGAATCGACTTCACTAATTTAAATATTGGCTAACTACTATATTCAACGTTTGAATTTTATTTTTTCTTTGATTTTATATTATTTCTTTTTTTATTGGAGTAAAACTATAGTATAGCACTTTTATTGAGCATACTTCTAAAGCAATCTCATTGGTTTATTGTACAACTTGGTACATTACACCTCTATGTATAGCACCTCGGTCGAGAACTGCCTCAATTCATGTCAGTTGTCATTTAAATGTTGTTCAATAATTGTGCCCACTACTCATCGAATAAGAAGTGTGTTTGTGACTCTAACATTAAGTCACCTCCTATAATCGCACTTAGTATTTCGTATTTTTTATATAGATATTTATATCGTTTCTTTCTTTTTAACTTCGAGTGGAGCATAAACCAGGATAAAGGCCAAGAATTCCGATGATATGACCTTTATAAAATTTTGAATCTTGTTATTATCCGTTCACTTATGTATGAGTCTAAAATTGTTTATTATAATGTTGTTTAATATTTAAATTATGGTATCAAAATTCTACTTTAAAAAATTTACTACGTCACTGGCAAAATGATATTTTTATCATTTATTTTATACATATTACTTTAATATAAGAACGAAATCGCATCGACAAATTAAAAAATATAAGCTCATTTTTTGCGTTATAGGTCTAATTAAAGATATTTATAAAAAAGAAATAAACTGTGACACAAATTTAAAAATTGAATATCCACTCCTAGGTAATGAGACTGTAACTAAAAACATGTGAAAAATTCAACAATAAATAAATTCGTAAACGTTAACATGCATCTTTACCTGGAACAGGAGGCAATTCCTGAATTTTGTAATTAAGAAGCCAGGAAAGACTTCCTTCTGTACAGTCTGATTCTATGCCACTGTCAGACCCACGAGGACTTGGACTTGTGACGTCTCTAGGAGAATCAAAATCACCGTTCTTTAAGGTACTATTATTCAAGCCGTTAATATCTTTGGTATTTACATGCATTTCAACTACAATATTTGGAATTTTATTTGTCGTATCCCAACAGCCATTTACCAAAACAACCTGTAAGTAAAATTTTAATAATTTATAAAATAATTATTAAATCTCTTGAACACGCATAACGGTTTTTCATAGTGTATGGCGGCTCAATGGTCTAGGGGTATGATTCTCGCTTTGGGTGCGAGAGGTCCCGGGTTCAAATCCCGGTTGAGCCCGACTTTTTTTATTTTATTTTAAAAATTTTAGTTGAATAAAAAGATCAATCTTAAATTTTAGCTTAAAAATTTATTATAAGATAACATATAGCAATTGTTTTATAGGCAAAGATGTTTTATTATAAGCAATATGAAAATTTTTTAATCTTAAATAATTTTTTCTTTTACCTCACTTTTTATATCTTCTTCCGTTTTTATAGCGATTTCAGGAAAACTGATAGGAAAACTGCAATTCATTCTATCACAAGAAGGGTGTACCATTTGTGGACCATAGGACTGTGAAACAACTCTATTATCCGAAGGATCGATGTATTCTATTTTAGTAGGAGTTAAGTTTTCGTCTAAGTAATTTCTTATGATCATATTGTTATCCATATTAATGCTTTTGATAGTTGTAGGAACGGTTCAGTTTTGTGTACGAAAGAAATCGGTCAGTTTCTAATTAAAAACTTTTTAAAAAAGTACAAGGAAATCTTGAAATCGTTTTTACTTAATTTGACAGATTAAAAAGAACTTACTAGATTTTCGCATTTTTAAAGTATAGTATCCTCTTCCTATTTTCATTTTCATGACGTCATTTTCTCGAAATTATTGGAGGTTGGTGCAAACTGAACTATACACGCAATTTCAAACTCTTTAACATTTTTGAAAAGTTATTATTTCACTTTTATTACTAATTTTATTATGTATTTATCTACTGTTATTGCTTATAAAAAAAACAAGACAAAAGCTGAGTTTCTAGAATAATAAATGGCAATAACATATTCAAAATTCAAAGGAAAAAACTGGAAATACAATAAAACTATACTATGTTTCAATAATTACGGTCCTTTGTTACAGACAAATGAGTTAAAATATTATCCGTTACTAAAAGAAATCATAGTTTACATAAGATTTGTTTCTGTAAAACTTTGCCAACTATGAGTTTTACTTATAAATGGAAATCAAATGTTTTATATTTGATTGAACATTGTTACTGTTGAAACGATTTTCCAAGAATCCACATTTAATTAAACTTTTTTCTTAAATTTAAATTATGTTCCTGCATATGCACATTTTTCATAAATATATTGTCTATTTCAGACATCCTGACGTGTACGTCATCCATCATATTCAATAAATTATTAACATACAGGTACTTATATACTTTTTAATCAGTGGCGGAGGTGAATGTTATGTCCAATTAAATCCCAATTGGTTAATAATTAAAGTTCACTAGATCTAAACAAGGTGTCGTAAGTACAAACAATAAAAATTAAATTAATGGAACAATTTTGATTTGTTATCGTGAAATTTATTGTAACTTTGCATCTATATCAATTTAGTTAAAAATAAATGTAAATGCACTATAAAAATTTCTACGTGTCTTTGGTTTTCGTTTATAAAAAACTTATTTTATTTGGTATTAATATTTTTTCTTTTTGAGGAAAAATATTGGTATATTTTAACAAGTGTTCAACATTCTTCTTCTTCTTCTTAACATGCCATACACCAAAGTGCGTATCTCATTACTAGAATTCTGTTCTTGGCGGCGTGACACAGCTCACCTGTATTGTTCAACATTCACTGTGTCCATAATAAGTTAAATATGGGAAACATTTTGAGGAGTTTTTAACCCTACATCAGAAGCCTCCTTAAATGGCAAATACGAGTAGAAAAGGCTTCTAGGCATGGATGGGGCTAGACCAAAGCTAGCGTTCGGCAGCCGTAGCTGATTTTCTCATAAAATATGGTCAGGCAGAGGCGCACCCAGGGGGGGTGTGGGGGTTAAACCCCCAGGACACTATTCCGACACTGTTGTTAACAGATTTTAAGGACTTAAAATGGTGGAGGCAGCATAAAAAAATCTAGGTGCGCTACTGAGGTTAGGTATGGTTTGAAAACTGTAAATGATTGTGAATTAGACAACAAACGATATAGTACCACAGAATAAATAACAATCAGAATGCCTACTCTCGGATGCCGACTTTGAAATTTGAATTGAGAGATTTGTGACAAGTTACGACAGAACTGTAATTTAAATTTTTAGATATTAATAATTTAAAATCCACAAGGAATCGAAGTTCCTGTAGTTGGCTGTATACCATATATCAAAAAAATTTTATTAAAAATCCTTTATAAAAGGTATAATATTTAAAAACCCAATCGGGCTATATCACAAAACGTTTTCGGAATCTATATTCCATTATTAGTGTCCTAAAAAGTATATAACCACTTAATTATAAAGAACGTGAAATTTAAATTTTGACCAAGGTTAATGCAAAATGTGGTTAATACTTACTAGGTATACATGTATGTAGCCACTAAATATGGGGGTAAAAACCCGTTAAAAATTGTTTGTTTAAATTTAGTTTACATTATATGTTATTAATTATTATGGTGTTAAAGTTACCAGTGGATTTGATAACATGGCGACGTATGATTCCACGTGAAGTTGCTGCTCCTGAGACAGGTGTGTCTGCGAGGTAGACTGTCTAACGTGTGTCCTGTGATGGAGACATGGAGGACGAAGCTCAAAGTTTAGTTCAAAGTAAGGACTTGTTACAAAGTGCAAGTGTAGCTAGAGATTAACTTTTTATTAAAGTCAATTTTGGCTTTATACCAGATATGATCATGTCGTTCGCGAGTGGACAATTAAGTGTAAGAGAGTCCATTAGTACCATTGAAACGAAAGTCTTCTGACGAACCTGTACCATGGCCTTAAAGAATACTGCCAAAACTTCAATATTGTCCAATTACGTCATTCGACGTTGAAAGGACCTTTTCCATGTCTAAATACATTTTTACTGATAGAAGGCAATCATTTTTACTGGAGAATCTCGAAAAGTATATTGTTGTAAATGCCTTTTATAGTATTTCTAAACGAGAAATTGTATAATATTGGTATACTTTTTTGTGCCATTTTAAAATAGTAAATAATTCTATCTGACTATGTTTTTCTTGCTTACTATGTATATGTGTCCAAATAAAAACCAATTTTTGAACATAGTACTTTTGGCAAACTATTTTGTTCTATTACATCATTAAATTTTATTACATATCGGATTGCATATTTTGTAATAAAAGTAAATATTTCTATATATTTTCATGAAACAAAATGCATATGTATGCACATATTTTTTCAAACAAATTTTGCATATATTCTGCGCTCTAATCATCATAGTCACTAATATCTTAGCAGATGTGTTGTGGTTCATCATTGAGCTTCAGTAGCTCTGATAGTCTGATTAATGATATTTCTCCAATGGACGCGGTCATCATGTAACAGATGACCGAGACCAGTAGATCTGGTAATATCGTAGCTAAAATCTTAAGATGAGTTTCTTAAAGTTGGTGACAAACCCAATTTGATTTGAAATCATAATAATATTACCTCATTTGTTCGATATTATGTGTAAGATATACATAATAATGCAAAAAAAAACATTCTGCTTTTTAGATAAAAGTTTTTATAGTCTACATTTCTGATGTATACATGGCAATATATCTATCACAGTTCTGTTATAGTGTAGTATCGGTAATGCCAGTTGACGTAACTAAGATAAATATATAAATGAAAATAAATGAACAGAAAGTGAAACTAAACATAAAGATCGCGTCAAACTCACGAGGGAAGAAATACTAGACCAACTTATAGAGGTTTAAAGACTTATTTGTTTAAATAAAAGGTCCCGCCAATACGCAGAGTGAATAAAATGAAAAACTTAAAGTAATTAACCACGTAATCATAACTACTATAATTCAGAAAAATTATAAAAATGATAGAAAAGCTTTTACCGTTGTTATCATCAATAATTATTATTAGGTTAGAACAAATTTTTCGCATGTTCATCGACACAAAAAATGTAAATATACGCTTGAACATTTTTAAAAATTTTTTGAAATGAATTTAAAGCTGTAATTCTCTTAAAATGTACCTTTTATAATTTGCAAACTGTATGCACAGATCAACACAATATCACTTATAAACCAACTTCACGAACAAATACAATTTTTTTTCTTCAATATTTAGTCACAGTTGATTTAACAGTCAGTATCTCTTTTGAAATAACAGAAACCAGTGGCGCGAGGTGCAGTAATCAACCCCACTATGACCGTATATAGAAGGGCGCAGACGTGTGCCTGCATTTAAAAAATTTTATTTTGATCATGTATAAAATGAAAATAAGTATTTTTAAAAGGATGAGTGCAAAAAATTAAAAACAAGTATTAAATAAACGGTATATAAATGCGAAAATCTAAAGGTTTGCCAAACTAAATTTTATTAATTACATGAAAGCCTTTGATCTACGAAACCGAAATCTTTGGGATGAAAAATCTATATAAATTTCCAATATAAAGAAAATATGTTTAAAATTAATATATCATGAAGTTATCACTATTCTGCAAAAAAAAATTTTTTCCTCCTTTTTGTTTTCATGCTAATAACGATATGTTTGGTGCTCTAAACGCGAAATTTACTATGGAAATAAATACGACACATATACTTGTCAGACTTCTTCTTCTTCAGTGCCTTATCCGGTTCAGATGTTGGCGATCATCAAGGCTATCGGCGATCATGGTTTTGTTGACCGCTCTGCGAAACAGCTCCGCAGAATTAATCTCAAACCATTGTCGGAGGTGTTTTAACCACGAGATACGCCGGCGTCCCGGTCCTATCCTGCCAAATACTTTACCATGCATATCGAGTTGAACAATTCGATACTTTTCTTCGTTCCACATCACGTACCCGAGGTACTCACGCTTACTTTGTTTCACTAAATTAAGCACTTATTTTTCTTTTGTCATGCGTTGTAGGACCTCAACGTTGGTGACATGGTCCACATACGATATTTTTAGTATCCTCTTGTAGAACCACATCTCGAAGGCTTCAATCCGCTTTTCTGTGGCTTGCGTCAGTGTCCAGGCTTCAACTTCATACAGTAACACTGGAAGAATGTAGCACACCACTATCCGCATTCTGGTTCCCAAACTGAGGTCACTGCAGCACAGCTAGGATTTCAACTTGATAAATGTAAACCGTGCCATTTCGATTCTGGATCTAATCTCTTGAGCGTAGTCTCATTGTGAGTTGAGGGTAGTTCCGAGGTAAGTGAATCTGTCAACTCTCTAGATCTCTTCGCTACCTGCCATTAGTGTCCCGGGATTTAAATTTGCACGGCTGACAACCATGACTTTAGTTTTCTTAATATTAAGGTCTACTCCGTATGTTACGCGCACAGTTCTCACTCGGTCTAGTAAGGCTTGTAGATCATTTAGGCTGGTTGCTAGTAATACAGTGTCATCGGCGTAGCGGATATTATTGATGTATTCACCATTCACTCTGATTCCCGTCTCTAGGTTTCAGTAGTGAGGGCTTCAGTAAAAATTTACTTTTCAGACAATCTACATTTAATCAAAAAACGATTGTATTAGGGTAATAATGATAAAAAAGAGTTATACCGAATATATTTAAAATTTAAAGTCAAAAATACTATTTTTTCAGACAGG